ACCACGAGCTAATTGACGATTATTCGCATTATTTAACAAATAAAATAAGTACTGTTGATTTAGTCTGAATTGGGAATGTTTAGATGTCAAACGAACTTTAATAAATTCGTGATCATGAAGTTTAATCTGTCTAGATTCATATTGTCCATTAACACCAAAAGGATATAAATCTGGAAAACACATTAAATCTAAAAATTTTTCACGATTATCCAAGGGTAATTCTTGAATTTTTAACATTTGAAATAAAGCGGTAGCACTTTCAAGTGATTTTTTTTTCATATAAAGTATAAATAGTATACTGCTCGTAATAACTATTATTATCATGAACTATCTGAGTTCACATTGCTTCACCCTTATTATTTAATATAGTAGTTTCTACGTTATTTTTTGTTTCTTGTGTTTCAATTTTCGAATTTAGTAATGTATCGTTGTCATTCGAAACAGATTCACTATCACTTTCCTCTTTTAGTTCAAAAAATTCAATATTCTCCGAACATAATTTATCGTGAACATCTGGCAGTATAATATGTTTGTAAAGAGGATTGTTACATTTTAACCATGTTAAAGCATCAAATACTTTTTTTACATCTATCAATTCTTCCCAAATAATTTTAGATTTTGTCGGAATACCTCTGATTAAAATATATATTCCACTGTTACGTCCTGAGCGCGAGATTTCGGCGGTCTCGAGACGCGACACGAGTTAGCGGGAACGCGAGCGCGGAGCGGGGCGCGCGGGGTGAAGCCTTGGCTTCGTTGTATTGCTTAGACGCGTGTCTTTATTATTATTACGGGCAGCTGTCACCAGTGCTCGGGATCGAGCATGATTTACGAGAATTATACTTATGTTTCTACGAAAATACTTGAATTTAAAGGTAATTAGCCTTCCAGGTCCTTTCTCATAAAATAAAATAGAGAGTTTAGAGGAAGCGTCAGTTATGCTTCATCTCGCTGTCTCTCTAATCTACACTCTCTTGTGTGATGAGAAGGATGTGGAAGGAAATGAAAAGGCTTTTAATAAGAAAAGAAATATTTACGATTCTAAGATTTTAATATTTACTGTACACGGGTTATTACTAATGATTCGCGGCTTAGGCGTAATTATGATGGGCCTAGTAGGCTTTCGAATGGGCGCCACGTGGGGCGGAGATGGAGGCGGTTTTGATCGCGACGGTGGTGCAATTGTAGCCACGATTTCCGAGGTGGAGGCTTTAGATGTTGCGGCTGTTGGATCGGCGATATCGACGGTTGTGTCGAGTTTCGGAGGTTTGGTAGCGTTCGCCGCGTCCTCCCTCCAATAAATGGAAGGGTCAAAGCTTCCCGCGTTAAGGAGCTCCCTTTGTAACTCCTTAAGGTGGGTACGCCAACCCCCTCGCTTGCCGCGCGTACGTTTCTTCTTTGGCATCTGCTTCAGAAAGAACGTATTGTAATGGCGGCAGATCGGAACGAAAAGAGAG